GTGGGATTGATGGTTTTGGGGTCATCCAAGTTGAACAATCCCAGAATTCCAGAATTCTGAACCTCAAACCTTCGGCTCTGGGTGGAATTGGTGGTTTTGGGGTCATCCACCCCCTGCACAAGGTGAGAGAACCCGGAATTCCGGAATTCCTGACCGCTGACCTTCGGCTCTGGGTGGGATTGGTGGTTTTGGGGTCATCCAAGTTGAACAATCCCAGAATTCCAGAATTCTGAACCTCAAACCTTCGGCTCTGGGTGGGATTGGTGGTTTTGGGGTCATCCAAGTTGAACAATCCAAGAATTCCAGAATTCCTGACCTCAAACGTTCAGCTTTGGCTGGCATCGATGGTTTTTCCTTTTTCTACCTCTGCCATCGAGGGCTAAACCATCCAGTTAAGAAATGGCGCTTTAATTGTTTTCACTTTTAACCTAATAACTAATTACCTAATTACCTAATAATCAAAAGTCCACAGCGTGGGTTTTCCTGTCCGGTGACAAATTGTCACCCAAATCCATGGAGAAGGAGGGGAAGAAAGTGAAGAAGAAGAAGGTGGAGAAGAATGAGAAGAAGATGTAGAAGATGAAAAAGAAGAAGAGAGGAAGGTGAAGAAGATGGAGGAGAGGAAGGTGAAGAAGATGAAGAATGGGAAGTAAAAGGTGAAGGAAGAAAGAAGAAGGAGGAGAAGAAGATGAAGAGAAGAAGAAGGTGAAGAAGAAGATGGAGAAGAATTAAAAAAAGGTGAAAGAGAGGAAGAAGATGAAGGAGATGAAGGAGAAGAAGAAGAAGGTGGCGAAGAATGAGAAGAAGGAGGTGAAGGAGAAGATGGAGAAGAAGAAAAAAAGGTGAAAGAAAAGAAGAAGATGAAGGAGAAGAAGAAGGTGGAGAAGAATGAGAAGAAGAAGAAGGTGAAGGAGAAGAAGGAGAAGGAGTCTAGAAAGAGTCTCCTGCTCCAAAACTGTGCTGAAAACCTCAGGAATGGGAAACGGCGCCATTAATTAACTCATTAATGGAGAGGATTTTTCTCCTGGGTTTTGGGTTTTAACAACAACTCCTCTCCTGTAATCCAGGGGGGTTTAATTTAAAAATCCGGGGAATTGTGCTGTGGGAAGGGTTTTTGAGGCCGGAGCAGCTGGAAGTGGCGTTTCTGGGAATAATCAAATGGATTCTGCAGCTCCCCGGGAGTTCTGCGGGCGGGAGCGGAGCTTCCTCCAGGAATTCTCTGCTGATTTCCCGGGATTTGCCCCCTGCAGCCCCTGGAGGCGATGCACGAGAAGGGAATGTCGGAGGATCCGCGCTACGGGCAGATGAAGGGGATGGGAATGCGCCCGGGGGGGCACGCGGGAATGGGGCCCCCCCCCAGCCCCATGGATCAGCATTCCCAAGGTGGGGAGCACGGGAAGGGGGCTGGGGCCAAATCCTGGGTTTGGGAGGTTTTCAGCATTCCCAAAGTTGGGATCGTGGGAAGGGGGTGAGGGGAAGAGCCGGGGCCAAATCCTGGATTTTGGGAGGTTTTCAGCATTCCCAAAGTTGGGATCGTAGGAAGGGGGTGAAGGGAAGAGCCGGGGCCAAATCCTGGGTTTTGGGAGGTTTTCAGCATTCCCAAAGTTGGGATCGTGGGAAGGGGGTGAAGGGAAGAGCCGGGGCCAAATCCTGGATTTGGAATTTGGGAGGTTTTCAGCATTCCCAAAGTTGGGATTGTTGGAAGGGGGTGAGGGGAGGAGCCAGGGCCAAATCCTGGATTTGGGAGGTTTTCAGCATTCCCAAAGTTGGGAT